ATACATTCCCTACCCTATCAAAAACAAAAAAAAAAGTGTTGGCTTTACATACACTTAAAGTGTACTAAAACCCAGACCCGGCATCCACTATATCTGGTCTCCCAGGAGCCTGCATCCACTATATCTGGTCTCCTACAGTACACACAACATGGAAATGCAATTATTTTGTAAATATAAACTGCTAAATACCTTTTCTCATTAGCAGTATATTGCAGTCTTGTGACTTCTATCAGTGTCCAGCAGAGCACTTGTTAAAGCTTGTAGGAGGCATTTTCTTGCTGCTCTAGGAGAATGCAGAACCTCTGACCTTTGTCTGGACAGTGCTGAATGGCCTTGTGCTGATCACATGCACTCTCCCAAGGAAGAAAAAAAAACATCTCTAGCAATACACACCAAAGTGAGCATGTGCAGAGTGACCCCCACATATATGTCTTATAAGGAGATAAAAGGAGGACACTGGAAGAAAGAGAGGATCAGAGAAGTCAAGATCACACAGCATTTTTACAAAATTCAGAGGATTAACCCCTTAGGATCCACAGTGAGTATAACAAGACTGATTTTACTGTTGTGGTTTAGTAACACTTTGAACTATTTGGGTTACAGTACCTCTTTCTCTAATTCCCAGAGCATTTTTTTTTGTTTCAGTGATATCTCAGTTCCACACGTTATGTTGTTGATTTATTCAAACTGGACCTGGCGAGTGCAAAATCTAATGCATGCATAGTAACCAATCAGCTTCCAGGTTTTTTTAGTCAATGCTTAATTGAACAAGCTGAAGTTAGAAGCTGATTGGCTCCCATGCGCAGCTACACCAGATATTTGCTGAAGTTAGAAGCTGATTGGCTACCATGCGCAGCTGCACCAGATATTTTCTGAAGTTAGAAGTTGATTGGCTACCATGCACAGCTACACCAGATATTTGCTGAAGTTAGAAGCTGATTGGCTACCATGCACAGCTGCACCAGATATTTTCTGACGTTAGAAGCTGATTGACTATAATGCACAGCTTAACATAAATAAATAGTGTAGCGCTCAAAATAAATAAGTAGCCAATTCATAGAGTTAAATATGATCAAAAAAATCCCCTTACAATCAAAAATCCCTTATAATAATAATAAGAATGATAAATAGTGTCAACTTATAATAAATAACCATATTTCATATTAGAACGTATACACACTATAAAAATAAATTGTTTTTAAAAAATACATATCGTGCTTACACACCTATTAAAAATAATAACCAGGTAATAATAAAACCTTTATAAGGATAAAAGTGCTATAGTGCCAAAAAAATGTGCAAACAAGTGTCCACTCTATCAAAAATCAATTCAAATAATGTCCTTCTAGTGATAAACGTAATCATGCAATGTGTAGTGGTTATAAATCTATTCATGATTGTGCCAGAATCTTCTCCTTATGGTGGCTAAATTGCCTCCCTCACCTCCTCCCAATGACCCCTAGGGGCCAACAGGCTTGCAGGATCACCCTGGATCCTTGCTACAATCAGGAAGTCCCATACGCATGCAGTGTACCCACACATCGGTGAGGAGGGAGGACTGCGGGGAATGTGAGTGTTTACCCTTGAATGTTTTAATAAAGGAGTCGTTTATTCTAAATACTACACTTAGAGGTTTTCTCTTTCTTGGCTCACTGGATGAGTGAGCCATTGTCCTTCAGAGATACCTTCGCTGAGTAGGGGAAATAGGAGCCCCATAAGGAGATCTACTGAAGGAAGGAAGCTGCTGACCTGTATGAATTAAGGATCCAGGGTGATCCTGCAAGCCTGTTGGCCCCTAGGGGTCATTGGGAGGAGGTGAGGAGGCAATTTAGCCACCATAAGGAGAAGATTCTGGCACAATCATGAATAGATTTATAAACCACTCCAAAGACATGCTGGTAGGTTAATTGGCTCCTGTCTAAATTGGCCCTAGTATGTGTATGTATGAATGTGAGTTAGGGACCTTAGATTGTACACTCCTTGAGGGTAAGGGACTGATGTGAATGTACAATTTATATATGTAAAGTGCTGGCGCTATACCTGTAATAAATAAATAAATAAATATAAGCTGCACTCCAAAACTTAGCTCATCTGCTTTCTGTGTTTAATAATTGTCAAAAAATACGATTACGTCACCAACCAAAACTAACCTTCCGTGATGTGTTTTCACCACTGCTGGCTTGCTCACTAGGATAGGGAAAGTCTTCTTCCTTCTCAGGGGTCTGCAAACTATGGCCCTCCAGCTGTTGAAGTGCTACAAGTCCCACCATGCCTCTGCCTCTGGGAGTCTTGCATGTGGCTGTCTTGCAAGGTCTCACGGGCCTTGCAGTTTCTTAACATCTGGAGGGCCATAGTTTGGAGACCCATGCTTTAAAGCAATCTAACAGTGGTGAAATGCCTCAAGGAAGGTTGGTTCTAGACATGTGTAGATGTTTTGTTATAAATCTAAATTTGGGTGAAATTTTCGTTATTTGGAGATCTGGATGTATCTGAATTTCCGAATCACAACATTTTTTTTATATTAATTTATTTCATTTGGATGGTATGATGTGATAGTTTGAGCCTTTTGTTAATATTTGCATCATCCGAAATAACATAATGACATAACAAATGATCCTAATTGACTTAGATCCTTTTGTTTTATTCATATCAGGGCAGCATGGTAGTCTTTGACTCTTGGATAGGTATAAAAGTGAAATAAGATGCTGATTCCTACTTATTGTGTTTGAGTTGGATGGAGGTGGAGCCATCACAATCTTCCAAACATAACATAAATAAAGTAATAAATCCGATATTCATTTTGTTTAATTTGTTCTTTCAGATGCATGTAACTCCACTCGATGTTGTCCAATCAGCTCATTCCATTTCTCTTTGTGGATTGGACTAGTAGGGATGACTTTGAAAAACCTTCCGAAAATACGAATCGATTCGGAGCAACGAATATATACGAAACAAGTCAAAACAAACAAAATGAATCAGAATATAAGAAACAAAATAAAATAAGAAATCATTCTAACATAACAAATGTGATGAAATTAAATGAATAAACATTTTTGTTGTGCACATCTTTGGTTGCTTTTGGGTAGAGATATTATTGTATACAGTCAATTACTAAATACAGAAAGAAAGAACAGCTAACTTCTTTTAAAATATTTTAACGGAGAGTAAGGATGGGCTGCGGTGGCCAATTACTGAGTTGTCCATGTGAGATGATAGTCTTGGTGAAGCCATTAGTTTGGATATTTTATAGACACATGAAAATGACATATTGGAGCTCCTTCATCAGGCAAAAGTGATACAGACATTGTACAAAAACATCATCCTTACATAAGACCCAAGAACTAATCAAAGCTAATTATTACCACTACCCAATTACCAAGATCCACCCATTGAAAATAAAAACAATTCAATAAGTGCACTATGTATGTCAGGGGTGTTCAACCTGCAGCCAATTGGCTGCATGCAGTCCAAGACGGCTATGAATGCTGCCCAACACAAAATTGTAAACTTACTTACATTTTTGTACACATGTGGCGAACACAATGAAATAATTTTTTCATCTTCCCAAAGAAAAATATCTCACTCTTCACAACCAAAAGTTATTCATATCATCAATTTTCAGCAGCACCTATATTTGTGAGCAACTTTTTTCAAGGATGAAGCACACGAAGGGCACATTTAGAACCAAAATATTTGTTGAGCACCTTGGGAATTCATTGAGAATTTCTGCAACATCCATCCAATCAGATATTGATGCGTTTTTTTTTCAAAAACACTGTCAAATATCATACTTGTATTAAGTTGCCCTCTTTTACTTTCAGTATAAAAAATATTACAAACAAAATGATATTTTATTACTCAGACAGGTAAAAGATATGCCATACTTTCCTTGTGTAAGGTCCTCCAAGGCAATAGACCAATTATTTGCAAAAGCAGCCTAACTGCTGGAAAGTGAACCACAAAAAACAAATAGGCACGGTCTGGAAATTATTTCCAATGTTATGGCAACTAAAGGCCAAGTAACCACCTCATTTGTCAGGAATAATTGTAAATTATGATGCCAGTCCCTAAAATGAATAAGTCGATGACGAAACGCGTCAAGGGAAGTGACGTCAAGACGCACACCGGAACCGGAAGTTGACTGGTGGCCATTTTGGAGAAGGGAAAAACGATCGCAGTGTGACTACTTGGATGTTTTCCTGGATGGCTGTGAGGTTTCCTTCACTATAATTAAGCGTTTTTAAAGGCTATTTGATGTGAGCAGTTTTAATAAAGGTCATATTTTCATGTGATTGGCGGTATCACACTATTATTGTCCTTCATGTTTTGTCTCTGGATGGAGTGAAGTGCTTGGAGATACTTGGAGTACTGTGACTGAGGAATCCAGGGAGTACCGTGGAGATCATTTATGCTTGGGGAAGATCTGCAGGAGAGCTATCCTGTTCAGCTGTTGGATTATTATGGGCATGCTTTATTGGGATTGTTGGTAAGGGTATCCTTACTATAAATAGTGCACACCAGTTTGCATTTTTGTGTGGCACTGAAGAGTGATTCACATACACAGTGTTTTTCATAGATTATTTCACGTTTTTCACTATTTTTCACAAATATTCACTACATAAATTGCATGGTGTATATATTGGAATACTATTTATGTTTATAAAAGGTAATGCACTATATGATATTTTCTTTTTTTGAGGTATATACATTGGGGATATCGCTGGAAGAATTGATTTGATTATATTCTACAGCCTGAATTATTTTTCACTGTGAAGAAATAGGGAAGTTAGGGTTAATAGATGATGGACTAATTGATGATTGGACTTCACTATTGTTGTTTGATTTTTTGTTTCTTTGGATAACACTTTCACATATATTATTAGTCCCTAAAATGATGTGGATTATTACAAATACATCTGATCAATCTACAATGCATAAAGGAAGCCAGGGGCTGATTCAGCCTACCAGGCCAAATATTACTTTTTGGGTTGAATCTTTAGGGTAGATTTGATAAAACTAGAGCACATAATCTGGTACAGCTGTGCATGGTAGCCCCAGGGGCGGACTGACAACTCATGGGGCCCCCGGGCAATAGGGGATCATGGGGCCCCGTGTCCTTGCCCAAACTCAAAAAAGCCTATGAAAAAGGTACATGGGGCATCACATGGGGCCACCTACTGACCCTGGGCCCTCGGGCAGTGCCCGAGTTTCCAAATGGTCAGTCCGCCCCTGGGTAGCCCATCAGTTTAGAACTTCAGGTTGTTCATTTAAACTTTGGCAATAAAACCTGGAAGCTGATTGGTTTCTATGCAGAGCTGCACCAGATTTTTGACTCTCCAGTTTTATGTTTAAGATATATCCACCCAAACTGAGTATAGCAATTGGGTTTGTGGACCTACAGGTCTATTATACCAGTTCTATACATTTCTGAAATGTAGCGTGATGTGTCTAGCTGAAAACAAAACACTTATATTCTCAACGGTATAATCGTTTGACCTCACTAACGCACTGACTGATATTCCGCAAACACAGCGAGCATACGTACAGCTTGTTTAGAGCAACGCCATTCCTCATCTTGACATGCTAAATGCCGCTGTTACAATAAGTAAAATGCAGTCAAGTCATTTAAATGTCTCACCAGATGCAGCATATTGAAGGAGATGATGTTCTACACGGGACATAAATCCTGAAATATATTCCAGATGAGACACTTTTATTCCTCTTATCTCTTCATAGAAATACAATGAGAGTTTACAAACTGGCTTATGGCGCGTTTGGTGAGTATAATTGTAAATACAGATGACAATCCTTAATATTAAGGAGATTAATAAGAACAAATACATCTGATCAATCTACAGGGGGTTCTTTGCTGGGTTTTATCCTTGGAAACTGAAACTTTTTTCATTATATGAACAAACTGCATTGCAATGGTAGAATTGCTTTTACATAAAATAATAATATAGCTTTTATAATAGTAATTTTTGGGACCCTATAATCATAATAGGAGAATTAGAGGTCAGACAGCAGGCTCTAGAAAGGCAGACTGGATGTTAATGTTTTTGCAAGAATGTCTGGTGCATATTAATGTATATTTATAATATTTGTAACACCCTGCTATAATGCAAGTTGCAGGATGTTAAAAGAGACACAAGATGGCAGTGCCCCTGCAATTCAGTGGCACTCACTCTCTGTAGAACAGACCCATTGACTTTGTATGCTGAACTGCAGGACTTTACTGAGGAGCAGTGTACCAGAGGACTACATTTCCCAGAGGAGTGTCGGGCGGGGGGGCATTTATATTCAGAAGCCCAGAAGACTGGACAGGAAGAGAGAGGGGAGAGAGCTGGAGTGCAGAAGTAGTGAGAGAGTTATGCTGAACTGCTGGAGAACTGGACCAGGCCGAAGAGCTGGAGAGAAGAGAGGCAAGGAGGAGTCACTAGCCTTGCCACCCTGTTCAGTGAGAATGTCTGACAGCATGTGACCCACAGTGTGTTGACTGGATGGAACGCTGCAAGTGAGGCCAGGAGAACCTGTGGGGGCCCCCATCTGCAGAGAGAGAGAGAGAGAGAGAGAGACAGCCCGGATGTGCTAAGAGACCCTGATCAAGTGAGAGAGTCCCATACACCAGCCAAACAAGTAAACACTGACATTCTCCTCATATCTGCCACTTTCCTTGCACACAGTTGCTGACATTGCATATAGATAACACGTGTTGTGGCCTAGTTCCCCCAGCCGCTACTTTTGAACACATTTGCAGCACAGTCCAATCATCAGAGCTGCCCACCATGCCCACCTTCTGCAGGCCAAATCACATCTGTGCTCCCTTAGCCATTGGCCTACCCTCTTAAAGGAACTTTTACCGCTATTGCTATTGGTTACTGTGGCTCAGAGTGGAGTTGCCATTTTGCGAGCAAGTGCTTCTGCTAACTTCTGACATCTTTCTGCTCAAAATGTATAACCTGCTCAGTGCAATAAAGGTACACCTCCCAAGTCAAGTGCCACCTAAAGGGATATTACTTCTCCTTCCTTCTTCCTTTCCTTGCATTAATCCTTTGAAGAACTGTCACCTTCATCTCTTCATACTTGTGCACCAACTGGGCCCCAACTAGCCTGCAGAAGATTCCACACTGCACTTATAGGGACATTGACTACCCTAGTTAAAAAAGCTCTTTCCTAAGCTCAGATTTAAACCTTGCCATCAGATTCTAAGGTCCCAAAGTGAGCTAGATCAACCTTTGGTAGTTTTCCTTGCTTGCTGGGGACTAGAAACATCTCAGATTGGAGGTATTGGGTTACCTTCTGAAAAGCAGGCTTGCTAACACTGAATGAGATTTTGCTTTATGTGTTGTTCTTTGCTTAAAGCTGCTAAACAGAGTGACAATTGCTATTACACACACCTATGCTACTTTGTGCTGTTTAACCAAGCTTACATTGAAGATTGATATAAACATCATATCAGTTTACTCCTGGCTGTGTGTGAGTCTACGTTCTGGTGGTAATTTACACTGGTTAAAAGAGTACTGTGGTGTCAGTAGGGGTTGGGCTTTCACTAAGGGGTCCAGAAGGACAGAGAGCCCAAAAAATAACTCAGCGATGCCTGGGGGCGTAGTGCTACATATTGTTATCCCCTAATGACTGTTTTTGTACACTGGAGCTAATGAATAGCTTTTTGTTTTTGGCTCCATATGTTGGTGCTTATGGAAATTCATGAGCATTAAGGTCCATAGTAAAAAGTCAAAGCAGTAAAATACCTGGGGGGAAGAGGTTCGCTAGCCAGGGGATGTTCTAAGACTGCACCCCCTACACACTCCACACATTACAGCTATGCAGGGGTTCCTTCAAAGCCATGGTTGGTGTTGCCCATGGCTTCATAATGAAAATGTGGGAGACATCCCTGTTAGACATCAGATACAGAAGGAAGATCTCCTAAGAGAAATTCTAGGAGGATTTTCTATTCAGTTTACCAGGCACTTCTGTGTTTGAGATCTACTGAGAGTTTGAATGAAAGGAGGGTTTGCTTGAGGAAGAAGGAATTTTGATCATGTATTGTCGAAATTGCCCTTGTTTTACATGCATATTTTCACAATTGTCCATATGTTGCCTCTGTATTCTCACAATTGAAGTTAGTTACCTACATAAAGTAATGATTGTGCTTTTTTGTCTTCTGATTGTCACCATTGCCCATATATTGTTATAATTGCCCATTTGTTGCCTTCATATCATCATAATTGCCATTTTCTGCCTGCATATTGTAACAATTTACTGTTTGATGACTGTGTATTGTTTAAGATTGTTCACTTGTTGCCTACATATTGTGAAGAGTGTCAGTCTTCATTGTCTATAGGCAGTGGTTAGGGCAGGTGAAAAGGTTTGAAGTTTTGGAAATCAGGGCTGGTAAGGGCTAGAAGTTTGGGAAGCAGGACTAGTGGTATTGGGAGAATGCCATATGTACCCTGACACATGTAAGGCATGAGCCCTTAAGTGAACAAAATGAAAAGGTGAACTAACATCCTACACTCTCCCTACACCCCTAATCCATGCTGCACTTACCCCATGGATGGGACAGATCAGAGAGGTTCAGATTGGTCAGCGCCAGTACATGATAACACTGACCAATCAGAATTTGATCCATCCCAGCATCCATGGGGAAAGAAGAGGAAGAACAACAAGGTTACAAACCCCAGGGACAGTCCACCAGACTGCATGGTAGGTAAAATTGTGCCATCCACAGAGGTAAGTGAAGCGGGGACCAGGGGATGAGGAGGGTATAAGGTGTTAGTCCTCCTTTTCATTTTTTTTCTGAAGACTAAAGCAAAAGCTATTGGTTTATGGTTGTTGATAAAAACATGCCTGCATTAAGGTGAAGGCCACCATTAACTGGAAAACTGTCAGCAATAGAACTCCTAAAGAAGTTACTTACTTTCTTCTACCTGAAGAATCCAGGGAAGGGGTGGGGGGGGGATGGGGTGGGGGAGAGTGACACCTCACTGGTTTGGCCAAGGAGTACTTCACAGAGAACATTAAACCATTTACATCTGTACCTGCCCCCAACTGAGCTCAGAGTTTGGTGTCTTCAACACAACCTTACACATACTAATTGGCTAGATTTGAGTGGAGGCCAATTACCATCTATTATGACTTTAGGAAGGAGACCAGAGAACTGACTAAGTGCAGATCCTTTGATAAGTCTCCACTGTAGGCCCCTCATGCTGGAAGCAAGAGTGCTAACCATTAAAGGTCAATCTAAACCTATTAGTTTATTTCTCTCAAGGTGGTGAACAGGTATTTTCAATGCAAGTTTCTATGTGAAATGGCCAAAGAAGCTGGATTTCTCATCCACCCTACTAGACTGGACAGGATGGAATGAGCAGTTATATCCCCTTACTCCCACAAAAAAAGCAATGGGCAATCAATCTACAGGGCTATCAACAGTGCAACATCTAAGCAACTATGGCAGCGGCAAGGGTGACAATGAAATGATTTCACTGCAGAAAGAAGAGTGTTGAAACCAATCAAAAGAAGTGCCTATACAACAGTTCTACTGGCAGGATCAGCAGGTATTTACAAAATATTCCAGGGGTACCTAGAAAAAGAGAACCCAGTTCTACTGTCTTTTTGTGGTTTGACCATAGTTTCACTTTAATGACCATGTTGGTTACCCTGCTGCCAATGGGTAATAATGACATGATTATAACACAGCTATTTAAAAAAAAAAAAACTTGGCAATTGTGCATACTGAGTAAAAGGACACCATAGCCTTTGTCTAAAATTCTTTAATAGATTTAAAAAGGGGGAGTGTAACCCTTCCTGAAATCTAGGGCATACACTTCTCCCGTAGATGTAATCTATGCTAATTGTATTAGGGAATTAAAGAGAATTAAGGTTATGTCTACAAATATGTTCAGTTTGGATTGACTCCAACTTTCCTGGCAGTAATATAGATTAGTGCTGTGTGGATTTGAATTGATTTAACTATCTAGCAGTGTTTTTTTAGAATTAGTGGTTTCATGAATATTTATCCCTTTAACTAATTTTATTGATAATAATTAAGTGGCCCTGAATGAAAGTGCAAAAAGGGCAGGTAAAAACATGTTGTGATGCATTCTGCATGGTCGCAATTCCTGCTGAGCTTTTTAATAAGAAAAAGGTCATACTGTAAGCTAGAAGGCATTGTATTGATTTGTATTACTGGTAGGTGGTGAACCTCTATGCAGGTGTAGTTTTCACTTTA